CCGGAAATAATGAGGGCTGCTGAATTTATTTCACATCAAACACACATTTATTCTGTATAATAACTCGCACTTGCATTTGCACAGAATTTAAACACTAAACTGTATAATAATACTTATTCATAGTTTAATAAATTTTAATTGCCGATATATTTACGCGGTAAACCATATAATAACGCGCCGGAGTCTGCAGCCGATGTGGTGCCGCCGACTGCAGACCTTAACTGAAGGAGAAATCTTCGGGTTCGGTAATTTCGGGTTTTGGCCCGAACCTCGAGGTAGTTGCATTTTCGTCATCATCCGACCAATCAGAAGGCAGGACGTTCTTCAATAACAAATCATCAAGTTAAAATTCTGCGTCATCCACAATATCTTTTGCATATACTCAAATATTAAATTGTCATATTATATAATTCATTCATAATGAAATAGAATTATGGAAATAAGATAAAACACAATTTTATATTAATTTAATCAGCATTTTCTCTTAGTAAGCATCCTTGTCCGTAAATGATTAACTTCTGCTTTAAAAACATTATTAATAATTATTATAATGCAATAATAATTATATTATATATAAGTACCTCCTAGGAATCGATCATATTTATTTATTAATTATTTTATCATAATCCCAATGTGCAAATAAAGGGCAAGACAATGACGCTCTAACAAAATATATTAAGTGATCTTGAACGAAATAGAAAAGCATCGCACCAAAGTTACTAATGTTTAATCTTGAACAGTAACTAGCAATATATTAGTAGAAAACATCTCATCAAGATTGATCATAAATAATCATTTGTCTATTTACTAACAAATTTACTACCACGAGCTGTGGAAAAAAACAATATGATGATAATGTGGTGTGGCTTGAGTGATTTTATAACGATTTTTATAACATTCATCAAATTAACTTGGTCCTATTTATTCTTAGAAAGTTGATCCTCAATTTAAAAAATAACAAAATTTTTATTTTGTTGGCCCATAATAAGAACAAATCAATCAGACGGAAACATCTGAAGATACAATATACATATATGACCAGATACATATTTGAACAAATTACATTCACAGTGGTTCTTTAAATTTTTCATTTTCACGATCCAGAAAATGTTGAAGCGGTATTTTATTCAATGACCCTACTTTTTATTCAGTCGCAAACATCCACTTCAACCCACATGTTTCGCTTTTAGTGCCAACATTCTTCTGTAACCTTTTTAATACTTGTTATGTTCACCTATATATTTCTCTGTCATTAATACAACGCAATTCTGAAATTAAACATTTTAAATAATAGTATGACACTGTTTCTTTTAAGGTTCATTGGTTTTATTTTAGGCTTGAATATTATTCAATATATTAGGATTATGGCAAATCAACAACTATCACAATCATGTTTATCAACTGAATAAATCTTATTTCATTGATCGATTTTCAGATGGAAATGCATGAAGTAAGAAAAAAAGCTAAAGTATTTAAAAGTCTATACAATTGTGAAAAGTTAACAATAATATTAATGCATTACTGCACAGTTGTATTGAGGAGAGATAGTAAATTACCATAGAATTATAACAGAATATTTCTATGTTAGCAATTAGCATCAAATGTAAGACTTTATTCAAAATTTGAATTATGAAACAAATCCAATGTTATAATGCAAAAATATGGCGCATTGATGAACAATAATTAAATGGTATTTCCGAGTCTGAAATATCAAAATTAAAACCTCACATTTAAAATAGACAATGCCGTTTTAGTTTTATTTTAAAATGTGTGAAATCATTCTTATACATTTTCTTTTTCGTACAGGAAAACAAACATTTTCTGACAAAAGGCAATTTTTCAGTTTGTTAGTATACTGCCAGCAATGGAAAAACTCTTTCTGATAGTATGAGGCTGGTACAGCCGCGTATTTCTTCATGAAGCCTTCATTCAAAAACGCTGTTACTGGTGACCATCTAAAACACTTAATTAATGATCCAATAAACTTAGCATTCTAGACTGGTTCCATATTTAACTCCTTTTTCTATGTCCTTTTGATTTAGCCAATTGTATTCAACCAGTCTACAATTTTCTTATCTCTCTTGCCGGTGAAAATGTCGTCCACAGCAAGGTTTGTTCTATTCAGTATCGCGCATCTATCTAATACTGTGTCCTCACACTATTGTACTTCCTGGAAAAGCCAGTGTTTTCTTTGTTTAGGAATTGCATTTTTTTATATTTTAAAATATATGAAATTATTTTTATTCATTTTTTTTTTCGTACAGAACAACAATGACAGAAGACAATTTTTCAGTTTGTTAGTATATTGCCAGCAATAGAAAAACCTCTTTCTGATAGTATGCAGCTGTACAGCCAAGTATTTTTTTATGACTTCTCCATTAAAAATTGCTGTTACTGGTGACCATCTAAAACACAAGTATCCAATATTTATGAAATCATTCTTATACATTTTTTTCGTACAGAAACAAACATTATCTAACAAAAGGCAATTTCTTCAGCTTATTAGTATACTGCCGGCATAGGAAAAAACTCTTTCTGATAGTATGTGGCTGGTACAGCCAAGTATTTCTTTATGATGCTTTCACTTAAAACCGCTGTTACCGGTGACCATCTAAAACAATTAAGGATCCAATAAACTTGGTTCCTAGACTGGCTCCACATATAACTCCTTTTCCTTTGTTGTTTTATTCGGGCAATTGTTTTCAATCAGTATAAAATTTTCTTATCTCTCTTGCAGGTGAAAATGTCCTCTGCAGCAGGGTTTGTTCTATCCAGTATCGCGCATCTTTCTCTTCAATGTTCCGCTGTGCCCTCTTCCTGCCCATACAGACCACACCATTGTTCTTCCTGGCACAGACAGTAATTATTTTGTTTATAAAGCGGTAATGGCTATTGTGTGGTTGTTCCGAAAGGCTCTATCATAACTATGATACGAGCATCCATATTGTCTCTCATTTATGTTCAGTAATTTCAAGGAAAACTGCTGTCCGAAATCATTATGGAGCAATCAGACTGCTAAACTTGCAAGCAGTGTTCCACCTTGTTATATTTTGGTTTATTATTTCATAAGCCTGCAGTTGCGCTTGCTTTTCTTTCAAATTATAACTGGCTAAAGTCGAATGATGGAAATGGCTTATTACACTACATTTTAAACATCTTGAATGTAACCATCAGAAAGGGCCTTATTAATGCATACCTGCAGGATATTTATATTGCATAAGTTAATATTAATAATAAGTTAATAAGTGCTGTCTTAAATCATTATGGAGCAATCAGATTGCTAAATTTGTAATCAGTGTTCCATCTTGTTATATTTTTGTTTATTATTTCATGTGCTGGCAGTTGATCTTGCCTTTCTTTCAAATTATATTTTAAAATGTATGAAATAAATCTTACTTTTTTTTTTCGTGCAGGAAAGCTGGCATTATCTGACAGAAGGCAATTTTTCAGTTTGTAGCAATGGAAAAAACTCTTTCTGATGGTATGCCATTGGTACAGCTAAGTATTTCATTATGACGTCTCCATTCAAAATCGCTGTTACTAGTGACCATCTAAAACACTTAAGTATCCAATATTTATATTTTGAAATGTATGAAATCATTCTTATACATTTTTTTCATACAGAAAAACAAACATTATCTAACAAAAGACAATTTCTTCAGCTTGTTAGTATACTGCCAGCAATGGAAAAAACTCTTTCTGATAGTATGAGGCTGGTACAGCCAAGTATTTCTTTATGACGCCTCCATTCAAAATCGCTGTTACTGGTGACCATCTAAAACACATAATTAAGAATCCAATAAATTTGGTTCTTAGACTGGTTCCACATATAATTCCTTTCCTTTGTTCTTTTTATTTGGTCAATTGTTTTCAACCAGTCTATAGATTTTTATCTCTCTTGCCGTTGAAAATGTCCTCTGCAGTGGAGTTTGTTCTATCCAGTATCGCGCATCTTTCTCTTCAATGATCCACAGTGCCCTCTTGCTGCCCACTCAGACCATACCATCGTTCTTCCTGGCACAGACAGTGATTATTTTGTTTATAAAGTGATAACAGTTATTCTGTGATTATTCCGAAAGGCTCTATCACAACTATGATACGAGCATCCATATTGTCTCTCATTTATGTTCAGTAATTTCAAGCAAAACTGCTGTCCTAAATCATTATGGAGCGATCAGACTGCTAAAGTTGCAAGCAGTGTTCCACCTTGTTATATTTTTGTTTATTATTTCATGAGCTAGCAGATCTTGCTTTTCATTCAAATTATAACTGGCTAAAGTCGAATGGTCGAAATGACTTACTAAGCTGCTACATTTTAAATATCTTGAATGTAACCATCAGAAAGGGCCTTATTAATGCATACCTGTACGATATTTTACTGCATAAGTTAAATTGCTATTATTAGCAGTGCTCCACCTTGTTATATTTTTGTTTATTATTTCATGAGCTAGCAGATCTTGCTTTTCTTTCAAATTATAACTGGCTAAAGTCGAATGGTGGAAATGACTTACTACACTACTACATTTTAAATATCTTGAATGTAACCATCAGAAAGGGCCTTATTAATGCATACCTGTAGGATATTTTACTGCATAAGTTAAATTGTTATTATTAGGTTATCTTCAAATTTGTAATATCAAAACTATTTTCACATTTATATTTTATTATTATTTTTCTTACATATTAGTGAGCTCTAGCCAGGTTTTACTAGTTCCAAATAAGATTTAATAAAACATTTTAAAATAAATTTATTTATTTTAATATAGTATAGTTCACTTTTTCTTTGACAGATCACGAAAGAAAATTAGGGAAAATTATGGAAGAAAGACCGGCGTTTTGTGTTTATTTATCTATGGGCGTCGTTTAAATAAACATGGCCGGCGTTTTCTTTGTAACATCATATTTGTATGTTGGTACCCTGGTTGGGTGTTTTTGTCAGCTGTCAAATTAGCAGATTCTGGTTCCTCAACATTAGCTATCAAAGCTGATATAAAGGTTTATATACACATACAAATACATGAAACAGTGCGAAGCAGGAATTGCGTGTCAAATTTAGTTTTGACGTTTGTTGACATTTTTGTTATGGTCAAACTTATAATAATGACAAGATAATTATGAACGATGCTTCAATTTTGGAAGAAATCCGGTTTGTATTATTTCTAATTAATGAATTCATATTGTCGAATCATTCACCGTAAAATAGTAAAAGTTGTTTAACCTAATTACCTCAATTTTATTTTCACCCACAATCATCATTCATTTACACGTACTCATTGAAAAATGAAGATAAACATATTATTTTTTGTTAATACTAAATCTTTTATAGATCATAAACAAAAACGAAAACAAAGTTTAACAAAGGGATCGCCAAAAAATGGTCAGCTACCTACACGGCGAAATGCAAAATTAGGCGATGACATTGTTGAAATTGATGAACAGAGTGAGTAAATTATTATTATTATTATTATTATTAAAATTATATATCTCAGTAACCTGTTTAGATATTGTTTCTTTCTATATGAACAAAATTTAAATTTAAGTTAATCATATACAAAATTATGTCTTAGTACTGTTTTAACATAATGAATGGGATTCTTCTTATGTGATAACTTATGTGTTTTGTTACTAGCAACATAATAATTTGTGTATGAGAGAATAATTGATTATTGAAGAGGTTCTCATCTAGCAGATCTTTCAACAATGAATGGTTTAGTATTAAATACATAATTTGTAAAATATATCATCATTATTCACACATACAATTAAACTAATTCGAATAAGTCAATTATTAAAAATTATTAATTTGATTCTATTCATTGCCTACAGTTCATTATCATACCTGCTCTTGATACTTATGTATTATTGCAGATGGGCCTTATAAACCCAGATCCCGTCTCTCTAAGACTCTTCGTGAAGTGCTTATTGACAAAGATGCACTTGGCTACTTTATTCAGTTTATGGATTCCAAGTCAGTAGTAGCATTAATCAAATTTTGGTTGGATGTGGAAAGTTTTCGATCCGCAGCCACCTGTACTGATGAGAATGATGGAATGCTTTTATCACCTGAAGATCGTTCCATAATGAGCAGTATATCAGCAGATTTAAATTCACCTATAGACCACTTCGATGATGTTTTTGATTCCATATCAATAAAAGCTGTAGAAAACAATTGTAGTAAACCCTTAGATTATAAAAGTGAGCAGTGCTTCTTAAAGAATGGTAACAGAAAACGCAGGACATTATCTTGCCAATCTGATATTTCAAAGGTTGAGGATGATAATATTTCAGCTAGCACGGATTGTGATTCTTTGTACCTTACAGGAGAATCAGAAAATGATAATAAGTCTACTTATAAAACCATAGAATCTGAAAATGAGTTTACATCCTCAAATAAAATATTGGGTTCAGTACATTCTTTGCAAACGGATGTGTTTCAAACTGGTCGTGGTGCTCATAAGGAGTGCGCTAATGGATTTGATTGCATGAAATTGGAAATCAAGCGCACATATTCCGTACCTCAGGATTTTGAAGACAATCAGCTGACACGTACAATATCTATGAATAGTCTTAAGAAACGAAAAGATTTCTATTCTAGCATTCATCAAGATGCTATGAGAATATCAAAAAAGTATATTTGTGAAAATGCTCCTTATCATATAAAGTTACCAGATACTATTCGTAGTGAAGTATTAAATAAAATACAAAGTAATACTATTGAACCAGAGATGTTCACACCTGCACAAGAACTTGTATTTATGCAAATAGAAAATAATTATTTTACACACTTTTTGAGAAGTGATTTTAACACAAAACATCAAATAGATGTACTGACATCAGGTAATGTGATTCTAGAAGATATATTATTCAATGAAACAGCTTTGTTTCATTTTATGGAATATTTAGAACAAGAATCTCCAGTGAATCGTGATTTTATAGAATTTTGGTTATCGGCAGTTAATTTTAGGCAAACTGCTCATTATGATAATGAACAAATGCAAAGTGATGCCATGACATTGTATGATAAATATTTCTCTTTGCAAGCTCTAAACCCTTTAAATTTGGGAGATAAAGTTCGATTTCATGTTGAACAAAATATCTGTCGAGAAGAAGGACCTGCAATTACATGCTTTGATTTACCTTTAAAAATTGTACAGAATTACTTAGAAAAAAATTACTTAAAACCATTTCTAATGTCGCAATTGTTTTTCAAATATCTAAATGAACTAATAAATTCTATAAATACAAATCCATGGCCAAAGTTTGGCCACAGAAAGAGTGGCTCTGATGCCAGTAGTGAAATAAGTGTAACAAACTCCACTGTGCACAAAAATTGTAAAAACAAATCCAAAGATAAATTTGATATGAGTATTGAAACCAGAAGCATGACCGACCCGGATTCACTTTGGCGCAGAAAGCAATGTGGCCTTAAATTTGGCCATGTGAATAATTTAGGACGGTTTCAAAGTGATTTGGAACGGGAACCTGAATCAAAGAGCAATTGGCGGTTATCAAAAGCTATGAAGCGATTTGTGAACAAAAAAGATGTTACTAAGGAAGAAATAGCTTGGCAAGTGGCAGAAATGATTGTGAAAGACATCACGAGTTTAACATTAAACCATGAATTTAATGATGATCCTAGTTGATTTTGTAATCTATTCAAGTGGGTTTGTGTATTATAGTGTTGTTATAAATGTTAACAAATTAGGTTTAAGTGAAAAAAGAATAGTTTTCTTTAAGAACAAATAAGTGTGAAAAATATGATATACTTTATTTCTAGGCCTGAAATGCTGTTGAATGTATACATTTGAGAAGAATTATTTGAAAAATAGTTCTAAATTAGTGAGGAATGAATATTATAAATTCATTTTGCTTATATAATTAAATTTTATAATAATTTGTTTTCTGATTCTAAATTTTCTTTGTTGTTATTTAAGAATTTTATGCAGTCAGGCTATGAATTTATCTTCTGAAATATTCCATAGCATGATCTCACTCCAAATTCTAATGTTAAAATTATCTAGTTATTTATTCAATGTTTGCAATTTTGCTTTTGACGTTTATGTGGTTTATATAATAATTTGAAGATAGTCATAGAGAAAGTATTTTTGGTTAGTGATTTGTCATGTATTTGAAAAACTATTGATTTATGTTTATGAAATAATATATTGTTATTAATGTGATTAGACATGTTTATCTTAGGACGACAAGTTATGAGTTTTTCGTTCAAATAGTAATAATTAAAATAATAATGTTTTTGAAAATAATGTTAACTTGTCGTTGCTATTTTCATTCTGCTAAAAATTGTATATCATAACCTGATGAGGCAACTTCTATTCTCTAAAATTAAAATTATTGTTATTATTATACAGGGTGTCCCAGAACTCAATGTCAAGCCCAAACAGGTCGATGTTAGTCATAACTATCATAACAAAAATTTAAAAAAAAATCACATAGTTTGAATATCATGAGCTTTTAAATGCAGCCTAGAGCTTTGATGTAAATATGACCTTTTTTTTTGGTATTGTGGTTATATATTATTAACTTCGTTCATAATAGCTTGAAGCTTTGGATTCGTAATAGTTAAAAATAATTCTAGGACCACAGTCAATAATAAACAATAAGATTTTTTGTAAACTATGAATTTATAATTTTTTAAGTAAGTCGACTTTGACTTTCAAAAAAGTTCTGAAATGTGTTGGCAAGTTCCTTGAAAACAAATATGCCACTATTTTTGACTGTGGTTCTAGAAATGCTATTTACAATTACTATCCCAAGGCTTAAATGAACAAAACTAATAAATATTAACTACATTAACCGAAAAATAATCAGGTTGCTCTTGAAAATTATAATATTTAAACTACATGAGATTTTGAGTTTTTTTTCTATTTTTTGATGATAGTTACGATCAATATTATCACCCTGTTTCGGCTTGAAGTTGAGTTGTGGGACACCCTGTATAGTCACGTATTATATATTACATTTAGAATTATTTTGTAATCCTCGGATCCTTAAGTTATTGAGCATATCAGCACATAATATGCATTATTGGAAAATAATTAGTAAATCAATATTAATTCAAGTAGTGCATTGTTTTTAAAAAATGTTTTGATTGCCATATCAGGTTATGGATTTATATCATAAAGATTATGATTTATATTTGTATGTTGGCTCGCAGGAAAGTTCGAATATAATCCACTCCTTCATGATTTTTTGAGACATATTTTGTTTAAAATTTCTGAAAAATCTCTATCGTCAACTTCAACATTTTAATATACACAGTATTATTAATTAATAAATCTCTTTGAACGAATTCAAACACTCACAAATTAAGTTGAAAAATTAATTGTTATATTGTTAAGCTTGTATATTCTCTAAGTACTAAAGTAAAATTATGTTTATTTATATTGTTTCCACGTCAACAAAACATATTTTTTCATATACACAAAATAGTTGAACTTAATAATTGTTAGAAATAGTGATGCACGTATGGTACAAAAGTTCTTAAAGCTGCAGAATCTCATATCAACGGCTATTTAATTAGTACACAAATAAAATATTACTCCATTCCTTCAAATTTTTGGTTACAAAAATACTCAATAACCTAAGCTATTTTTAAGAAGTCTAGAAATTTAAGTTAAAGTCAAAAGAAAAATATTACGTGTTTATATTTTATGTACTATATAATAACCTACTTACTTCTATTATCAAATTCAATGTACTATTATTTGTGATTTATATATTTTTATTAATGAATTATTTAAAAGCATGATCGTATTCCTGCATTTTTAAAATGCATATGGTACTGTGTATAGAGTGATATTATATATATAATAATAAATAAAAATTATATTTGTATTAAAAATATAACAAATGTGTTTTTACTGTATCAGCCTGCTTTTTTAAAGAATGCAAAAGAAACTATTTTTATTATATTTATAAATTTTACCAATATCGCCAATAAAATAATGAAATAAAATAACAGAATAAAAAGATATAGATTTTAAAAAATAACGATTATAATAACATTAACATAATAAAATACCTTAAAAATATATCACAAATAAGAACAGCTATGATTCACACTCCAATATGGAACTTCTCTAGAACTGGCAGTTCCCAGCAACGGAGTACTTTCATCTTCTGAAATAATTATTTAGATATAGATATTTCAGTGTATATTTACATTTAAGAGATTTTGAAGCATTTATTCGTTATTTAAAGTATGTGCGTGTTTCTTTCTGAACAATCCAGCCTGAATTTAAAAAAAAAGAAGTGTTTGAAGGTGCACCTTGAACGTGCTATTCATTTGCAACGATTCGGAACTAGAAACATTCCATCATGTAATATTTCTGTCAAAAATCGCGTATTGTAGATATAATGATGGACAATATTTTCAGTTTTTTTTACTATGATTTATATTTGTATGTTGGCTCGCAGGAAAGTTCGAATATAATCCACTCCTTTATGATTTTTTGAGACATATTTTGTTTTTGAGATAGTCTGATGATTGATCCGAAACGTTGCTAATAAATACCACCAGAGCCGGTCCCACCTGCAATGCATGCAAAAAATGCGGGCGCACGCCTTAGAGGGCACCAAAACGAGATTCGGATATAAAATTTATAACATAGTTTTTTCAATGTCATTCAAAAAATATATTATTTCTTTGCATCTTTTATAAACCTTGAACAATATTTTTCAAATTTAACGTTGAAACAACAATCTGACGATTGGAAAGTATAGACGAATACATACACTTACGATATCAATTAGGAGAAGTGTACGATGCAATTTTAGATATTTTAAATAATAAAAAATTAAATTAAAATAATACAACATGAAGTACCAATGTTATGTTTAACAATTAGAGGCTGGAATTTTCTTTCTCTATGATTTGCTCAATAAAATAAATCGCATAAAATCCCCAAAATAAATAAGCAAAATATTTGAAAACCCTAACATTAATATTACACATGTGTTGGAAATAAATAAAAATTTAAAAATATTCTTGCAAGCAATAATAAACATACTGAAATTTTTGGATGTCCTAAAAAGTTTGGACTGAACTTAAGAATTTAAAAATAGCTTGGTAGTGCGACAACGATAGAAGGCTACAATTTGATTATAAGCACCTGCAAATCGCATTGATCTTCTTAATAAATTTAAAATAAATGTATTTTATGCGCATTTAGGTTAATCCAGAGTTAATATAAATCCAGATTTATTAAAAATTATTTAAAAAAAATTAACGTAAATAATAAACTGTTCAAAAAGCTAAAATAATATAGGTGAAGGCGCTAGAAAAAAATTGGCATGCGGGCACTGAGCACTTCAGGACCGGCCCAGACACCTTTTTGTTTTGGATTGAGTGTTCAGAAAATAAAAATAATTCCGGGATTTATTAAATATATTTTAGTCTTACATTCAGCATTGGTCTTACCTTCAACAGCTTCATCTGCTTTGCTAGCACAGCAAGGAAAAGACAATGAGGCTTCGGCGCTCCTCTGCTTATAAACAACAGCATTTATAGCGGCCTTAACGAATAGAAAAGTCTTATATAGTATAATATTTCAACATAAATAAGTAATAATTTTGATTATTACTTAATCTACTATATAATTTTATCGACAAACAAACAAATTCACTAATTTTGTATTAACATTTTAAATCGTCTTTATTACGAATCGTGATCTTGAAATATATTAAAATTAATTATCAATGTTATTTTTTAATGTACTAACATTAAATAACTTACTTGCAAGGGGTTGGTAACTGCCATCATATACCAAATAATGAGATATATCAAGTAAGGCAACTCCATATAATCATCTAACCATATGAGAAAGCCATTAAATATGTTGGGCGTCCAGCAAACGTAAAATGACATTATCATTATTAGAAATTTTAAGGAAACGCTGTTACTTGCATGACGCTCCTTATTCGTAACCTGCAATTTGTAAATTAAAAACGGTAATATTAATCAACAAAGGTAAATACATATTACATAAAAAATATAGATTAAAAACGGATATTATCAAAAAAATATATATTATTGAATAAATGTATATAAATTGTAAAATGTGAGCTTTACAAAATAAAAGTATTGGTTGCATTATTGACTACAGATAAATATCTTTAATATACGTAAGCATAACTGTATGCTAACTACATATTATTTTTTAGATTATTATAAATTTAGATTACTATTGATATGTAAATGATGTATATGGCTAATTTAAAACTGGCTAAATGAATTCTTATTAAAGAGAAGCATATATAATTACATTATTAGTTCTTACTGATTTTACCAATACACGTAGTTCAACAATATTTTATATAGCCATATTAACAAAAAAAATTGTGTACTCAAATTTGTTTTAATTTATTAAAAAAAATTTTTTTTTCAATGATTTTATTTAATTTTATGACCAATATAACTGAATTGCACTACAGTTACGCTCCAATTATTTTGGAAAAAGAAACATAATTATGAAGTGTAATTAAGAAGTGTGAATGAAGAGTGAAAAAAACAATGTAATTGATACTTGTTTGAATTGTATAATTGATCACCCTATCTAATGAAATATACATAAAATATATCCAAATAATCTGTATGCAAATATTTAAAAATAATACATTTTTAATTTGAATAATAATTGTTAATCTGGTTAAATCTCAAAATATGACATAATCTTCAACAAATATTTATATAAGTTTAGTTTATGAATGTTCATTGAATAAATTTTTGATGCTATGAGTTTTTATTCTTAACTG